GAGGGAGGGAGGAAGATAGATAGATAGATCATGGAGATCAGAAAGAAGAAACATGACATTTTTCAAGTGATGAAAGAAAACAACTATCAACTCAGAAGCCATAATCCAGCAAAATTGTCCTTCAAGAATAAGAGAAAACAGGATATCAAAAGATGCAGACAAACTAAGAGTGCCTGGCATAGTAGATGTAGACTGAAAAAACAGATAAAGGAGGATCTCTAAATAGGATGAAAATAAACAAAGAAAACATGGAAATCAGAAAGGAAACAAAGAACTCAGTGAGCAAGAACAAATGCAAGACTTATCTCTTCTTCTTTTGACTTTTGTAAATTATACTTGGCATTTGGAAAATTAAAATGCTGATATGGTTCTAAGTGTATGCAGAGAAGCAATCTAAGAAAATATATTAAAATAGGAGGAGGATAAAAAGACAAAAAGATTTAAGGTTTTGTATACTTCATGAACTGGTAATATGATTACACACACATCTTACAACAGTGTGTGTGTGTGTGTGTGTGTGTGTGTGTGTGTGTGTGTAATACCTTGAGCAACTACTAAAAAAAAGCAAAGAAACTCATAAACACTATAGAAATATCACAATAAATTTGCAAAATTGAACCATAAAAATAAAAGCTAAGTGAACCAATAGAATACAAAAACTTCAGGCCCTTATATATCAACAGGTCACATGAAAGTGGTCTAAACAATCAATTACTGCAGAGCAATAGTAACAAAACCAGCATGGTACTGGCACCAGAATAGACTTGTAGACAAGTGGTACACAATAGAGGACACAGAGATAAATCCAGATAACTACAGTTATCTATTATTAGACAAATGTGACAAAATCATACATTGGAGAACAGATAGCCTCTTCAGCAAATGGTGCTGGGAAAACCAGAAATCCATATGCAACAAAATGAAATTAAACCCCTATCTCTCACCATTCACAAAACTCAACTCAAAGTGGATCAAGGACCTAGGAACTCAACCAGAGACACTATGCTTACTAGACAAAAAAGTAGGCCCAAATCTCCATCATGTTGGATTGGGCCTCAACTTCTTTAAAAAGACTCCCATAGCATAAGAATTATATACAAGAATCAAAAAATAAAATGATTAAAAAGCTTCTTAGCAAAAGAAACAATCAGTGAGGTGAATAGAGGGCCTACATTTTGGGAGAAACAATTAGTGAGGTGAATAGAGAGCCTACATTTTTTACCACATGCACTTCAGAAAGAGCCGTAATCTCTAGGATATATA